TCTTGCAAGAATTTAAACAAGGGGAGGGCCAAGGGCAACTTCTTGGCTAACTCAGTGATTTTAGTTGTTTTCCAAGTAACGGGACCCCATCCAAGTTTTTCTTATGTCCTCTTTATCTTAGGAACATGGTTTGTCTAAGCTCTCTAGCCACAAACTAGCGGGTGGGCCCCCTTACTGAAAGACACTTTATTTTTAGCCTCATTTATGATCTTAAAATTGTTGGGCTTTGCATTCCCCCCTTTTGATGTTGGAAATCTCTAATCTTAGAGATCTGAGCTGTTAGTAGCTAGGGCCTCATATTGTTGGCGAATAATCATAAGTTTAACATTACCTATCTGTTCATGAACAAAACTGATGAGTCTATTAATTATACATCGCCCTATGATTAGTATGAGGAGAATAAGTATTAGTGGTCCAGCTAAAGCAGAAAGCAAAGTAGTTAGCCATGGAGACCAGGACTCGAACAATCCTTGCTGAGTTTGGCATTCTTTAGATCTCTGTTCTAATCTCTCCCTAAGTTTAGTCATAGATTCTCTAACAACACCAGAGTGATCTGCACAAAAGCAACATTGTTCTTTTAAAACTGCACATAATCCTCCTTCTTTAAGGAAAAGTAAGTCGAGTCCTCGTCTGTTTTGTAGGACTACTTCGGAGAGGGAAGTTAGGGAGTTTTGAAGAACCATGACAGATGTTTCTATAGCTTTTAAATCTTCATCTATCGCAGCTTGTAACTGGCTCATTCTCTGGTTATTATGTACAATGGCTGCAGTTCCTGTGCCTATACTAGCGGCAGCAGTTATTCCCATAATAATGGCTAAGGTAATAGTGACTGGTTCTCTTTTATATCTAACTTGGCCTAATAGCCTATCTTCTAATTCCATCCCCAAGTGATAAAGAATCCGGGGGAATATAGAAACCAACACACAAAAGTTAGCAGAGTTATTAAAGACCTTAGTAGACATGCAAGGGGTAATCCCAGTGTCACATGCCCATTTTAAACCTATAGGAGGTTGAAGAAACTTGTCTCTATCTTGGATCTGATAGACAATGGCACATAGGGGTTTCACTTGAGGAGGGGGATTTCCGATAGAGTTTCCTTGTCCAGTAACCTCAGACAGGGTGAGTTTATGGTTGTTATCCCAATTACAAGTCGTGCTGGAAGTAAGGGTGGCATAAGACTTATTTATAGCTATTCCTTCATAATATGGTGGTGAAGCAGACAGGCAAGGCCAACATGACTGGGTAAGATTAGCTTGAGTATGATTGAGAGTAGAATAAGCCCCTAATATGAGGTTATATAATCAGTTATCAGGGACTGAGAGGGAGGAGGTGGTGGGAACCAGGGGACCGATGTAGCTGTGGGAAGTTTGCTTGAACCTTAAGGGGAGGTAGGCTCTAGTTGCAGAGGAGGTTTTTCTTTGATTAAGGCAGGGTTGGGACCAACTCCGATAGCTTTTTGTGGGATCAGAGTTCTTTGTATAAGGATTAGGCCCCCAGGTTGTAAGTTATACAGTTTGACTCCCCAAGTCCGCCCGGTAGACCACCTTGGGTCTGTGTGGCCTAAAGCCTTGAGGACAACCTGGCATTGGGACTTATCTGACTTAGGGCATCCAGTTGGAGTCCATTTTACATCTATGTTGGGATCAGGAGTGGTCACGGACCATTTGGTTGCTATAGTTTCACATCCCCAATGGGCACAATAGTATTGACCAGGGCTATTACAATATGGCTTGTCTGGGTTGGAAGCAGGACACATATAAATATGGTGTCCTTTACAATTGGAGTGGGCCAGTGAGGGCACTAAGTCACAGGGAGATATCTGAAAGGAAGGTTCTCCTGTCCCTTCCCATGCCTGTAATATTTTTTTATATTCCCACCTAAACAGTGTCCATCTCCATGGTTTGTGAGGGTTGGAGTTATCACCCCCAATTGGACGCAGGGTTAGTAACCCTAAGAATCCAAACTTTAAGAGGGTTATCAACCTTTTCCACAGTCCATTCATGATTGAGTGGCTGTGGTGCCAGCTTGAGGTGGGAAGCATGGATCCAAGAAGTGATGCCGTCAACTTTGACTGCTGTCGGTGTAGTTAACAGTACCTGATAGGGTCCTTTCCAGCGGGGTTGTAGGGTCTCAGTCTGATGTTGTTGGATGAACACCTAGTCTCCCACATGGAATTGGTAGGGAGTGGGTCCGTCGCTGGGCTGGTAGGCCGAGGAAAGTTGCCGCCATAAGATCTGGTGGATCTGGTCAAGAATCAAGAGTCTATCAGGCAAGGGGGTATGGGGTGTTTTTAAGTCTTTAGGCCGTGGACTAAGGTCTCGTATGGGGGGAGGAGTACCATATAAAATCTCAAAGGGAGTTAGGTTAGGTGGTTTAGAAGTTGGAGTGTTTCTCGCTCTAAACAGAGCATAAGGTAGGAGCATGGTCCAATCCTTAAGGTCAGTCTCTTGGACTAATTTAGTTAAGGTCTCTTTAATTGTTCTATTCATTTTCTCTACCTGTCCTGAACTTTGGGGTCTGTAGGCACAATGAAATTTCTAATCAATCCCCATTACCTTGGCCACTCCCTGATTTACGTGAGCCACGAATGCCGGTCCGTTGTCAGACCCGATTACTTTTGGCATGCCAAAACGAGGAAATATTTCTTCCATCAGCTTTTTGACTACTATTTGAGCAGTCTCCCATTTGATAGGAAAGGCTTCGGTCCATCCTGAAAAAGTGTCTATAAAAACTAACAAATATTTGAGTCCATATTTGGCAGGCTTTATTTCAGTAAAATCTACCTCCAAAAATTGTTCAGGTCGATCTCCTCGTAACTTTATTCCCTCAACAAGTTTTGAGGGATGAGGGTTGACAAGTTGACAAGCTTTACATTCCTTGGTGACCTGTTCAGCCAGTCTTTGGACCTTAGATAGAGGTAGGTTACTGGTGGCATGATGTCGAGCCAGTAGGCAGAGTTTCCTGATGCCCAAATGAGTTAACTTATGAACTTGTTGGAAAAAGGCTAGAAGCTCTGGTTCCTCCATCGGATGGGGCGGTGTAGGAAGTTCAGGCGGCTCTGTTGCCTCTAAGGTCAGGGCAGTAGGAGCATTTAGGGCCGCTTGTCTGGCAGCCTCATCAGCGTGGTTGTTTCCCTTTATAATGGGGCTAGAGCCCTTCTGATGGCTGTTGCAATGTACTATAGCCAGTTTTTGTGGCAGCATAATAGCTGACAAAAGTCTAAGTATTTCCTGTTTATTTTTGATTTCTTTCCCAGCCAAAGTGAGGAGCCCGCTTTGTTAGTAGATAGCTCCGTGAATATGTGCTGTAGCGAAAGCGTAAGGGCTGTCGGTATAGATGGTTGCCCTTTTTCCCTCGGCCAGCTCTAAAGCCTTAGTGAGGGCAATTAGTTCTGCCCGCTGTGCGGAAGAGCCCTCCCTCAATCCTGATGACCAGATAACCCGAGTCCCATCAGTGACGGCGACCCCCGCAAGTCTCTTACTGTTTAGCAAGAAACTGCTGCCGTCAGTGTACCAGGTTACCTCAGCGTTCGGGAGTGGCTGGTCTGTGAGGTCTCGGCGAATTCCAGTTTCTTCTGCTAAGATCTCTTGGCAGGTGTGGAGGATTGGTTCCAGTGTTTCTTCGGGCAGTAGAGTGGCTGGGTTGAGGGCAGTTGGCGGACCAAACATTATTCGGTCTTTATTGAGCAAGAGACTTTGGTAATGAGTAATCCTGGCATTAGAGAGCCATCTATCGGGGGGTTGACGAATTACACTCTCCAGACTGTGTGGGGCTATTATAGTTAGCTTTTGCCCCAAGGTTAATTTGTCTGCATCTTTCGTTAACATGGCAGCAGCCGCAATAGCTTTTAAGCGGTGGGGCCATCCGCTAGCCACAGAGTCTAATCTTTTTGACAAATAGGCCACAGGCCGTTTCCAGGGGCCAAAGGCTTGAGTTAACACTCCCTGTGCTATCCCCCGTTTTTCCTCAATGTAGAGAGTGAAAGGTTTGTCCACATTGGGTAGAGCCAAGGCTTGGGCTGACAACAGGGCCCTTTTGATATCATCAAAGGCCTGTTGTTGGTCTGGGCCCCAGGTAAAAGTGGCATCTCCCTTAAGGAGGGGATAGAGGGGGCAGCCAGGAATGTGAAACCTGGAATCCATAGGCGGCAAAATCCTGCAGTTCCCAGGAATTCCCATAATTGCCTCCGGTTTACGGGCAGAGGAATTTGCGTGACAGTCTTTTTTCTGGTCTCAGTGAGCCATCATTTCCCATCTTTGAGGGTGTACCCTAAAAAGATGACTTCCCTTTGACAAATTTGAGCCTTTTTAGCTGAGGCTTGGTATCCCAATTTGGCCAGTTCTTGTAAAAGTCCCCGAGTCCCATACATACAGTCTGTTTCCGAGTTTGCAGCCAGCAGAAGGTCATCTACATATTGGAGGAGAGTTACCTCAGGGTGTTGGACCCAGAAGGCAGTCAAGTCCTTGTGGAGGGCTTCATCAAATATAGTAGGGCTATTTTTGAACCCCTGAGGGAGGCGGGTCCAGGTCAGCTGTCCTGTTGTCCCCATCTCCAGGTCCGTCCATTCAAAAGCAAACAGGGGTTGGCTATCTTTATGTAAAGACAGGAAAAAGAAGGCATCTTTTAGGTCCAATACTGTATACCAAGTCTTTTCGGGGCTCAGGGTGTTGAGTAGGTTGTAGGGATTAGGCAGTGTAGCATGTATGTCCTCTACTCTGTTGTTTACTTCCTGTAGGTCTTGCACTGGTCTATAGTCCCCTGTCCCTGGCTTTTTGACCAGCAAGAGGAGTATTCCAGGCCGACCGGCATGGTATTAACACTCCCAGGCCAAGAAACTTTTGTATGTGTCCTTTTATCCCCTGGTGAGCTTCCTTACTTATATAGTATTGTTTAATGTGGACTGGAGTGGCAGATACTTTTAAGAATATTAACACAGGCGGTTGTAAGGTGGCAAGTACTAGTCCAGCAGTTTCAGCCCATGAATCAGGAAAATCTGTCAACCAATTTTGAGGAATAGATGGGGCTTTGGGTTGAGTAGAGTTGATATTCATCTTCTGTAGCTATGGCCAGCATAGTTGCTATGGGTTGGCCCACCAGAGGATTAAGGAAAGTCACTTGGGGCCCCTGAGGCTCAAAGGTTATTCTGGCTCTCAATTTGGTTAATAAGTCTCTTCCCATAAGTGGAGCTGGACATTCTGGTATGACTAGAAAAGAATGTTGTACTTTTCCTTTTCCCAAATCCATAGTCCTCTTTGTAGTCCAGGCCCGATATCTACTGCCATTTGCCCCTTGAACTAAAGACCTCCGGCTGGACAGAGGTCCAAGAGGATTTTGAAAGACAGAGAATACCGCACCTTTATCTACTTCAAAATCAATTGGAGTCCCCTCCACATCAAAGGATACCCTCAGCTCGGGGAGGGGGACCGAGCTCCGTCTCCTCTAGTCGTCGTCTTCCTCTAGGGCCAACACATTAGGCTGGTGCCTTTGGGCTCCAAGAGCTTGCTGTTTATGTTTTTCTCTTTCTCTTTTTTGTTTGAGTGTAGGGCAATCCTTGATAAAGTGTCCTGTTTCCTTACATTAAGCACATTGATTGGGCTCTAATGGAGGGCGGCGTGGCTTTTTCTCACCTGTATTTCCCTGATCTACTGTGGCCAAGATCTTAGTTAATTCCTTGTTCCATCTCCAATCTCTTTCTTTTTCCCTGATCATTTCCCTTTCTTCTCTCTCTAGTTCTTGCTCTCTCTCTTGTGCCCTTTCTTCTTTCTTTTTCTTTTCTTATCTCTTTTTCTTCCTCTGTCTCTCTTTTATAAAACACTTTCTCTGCTTCCTTTACTAAGTCTCTTAGGGTTGTATTTTGTAACCCATCTAAATGTTGGAGTTTCTTTCTGATATCAAGGGCTGATTGGGTTATAAAAGACATAGCAATAGACCGTCTTAACCCTTCATCCTGAGGATCGAAGGGGGTATATCTACGATAAGCCTCCATTATTCTTTCTAGAAATGCTGAGGGCGATTCATCAGGACCTTGATTAATTTCTCTTACCTTAGCCAGATTAGTAGGCCGGCGCGCGGCCGCCTTGAGACTGGCCATAAGAGTCTGGCGATAGATGGACAGATGCTCCCTACCATCAGGGGTGTTTGGGTCCCAGTCAGTGCGGTGCAGGGGGAAGGCATCATCAATGAGGTTCAGCATCTGGGTGGGTACCCCACCCAGTTCAGGAACCAATTTCCTGGCCTCTGTGAGGATCCTCTCCCTTTCTTCCTGAGTGAACAGGGTGCTCAACAGCTGGTGACAATCATCCCAGGTGGGCTGGTGACAATACATGAGCAATTCCATCAATGCGGTTATCCTAGAAGGATCCTCAGAAAAAGGGGAGTTGTTATTTTTCCAATTATATGTCAGAGGTGGAGAAGGGCCAATATTGAAGTGTTGGCATCTCCCCTCCGTGACCATTATCTATCATTGGCCCATAGGGCCAGAGGGTAAGAGTAACAGCCACATCTTGTGGGCTTTTTGCTCATTTGCTTTGGGCTCCACATGTTCCTTGGGCTGGTCCACCATCATCATACAACGAAGAGGATTCCGAAGAGGCAGGTTGGGCCTGAGGAGAGGCAGGAGGAGGAGAGGGTGCATATAGAGGGGGAGGAGGAGCCTCTAGATCGAATTGAATCAGATCTGTTTGGGATTCTGGTAGGACAGGAGGTGGTAAGGGTGGATAGAGACCAGGAGGTGAAGATTGAGCCTTAACTGGCAGGAGGGTAGCCAGTCCAGGTGGAGCTGGAGGAAGAAAAGGTCTTACCCACTCCGGTGGATTTTCACAAAGATCTTGCCAAACTAGAATATATGGTTGTTGGTCAGGGTGGCCGGAGCGACTGGAATGGAAGATTACAGTTTTTACTGCTTGAACCAGAGACGGGTGAAAAGATCCTTCTGGAGGCCATCCTACCTGGAAGGAGGGCCATTCTGAAGAACAGAGAGTTTGTCATTTTCCTTTATTAACAGTCAAAGAAAGATTATGTGCTCTCCCCCTAATCTCTGACCAATGACCTAGGGTAAGGGCGAGAGGAACAGAGTTTACTTGTCCCATATTACCAAAATAACTGATGTCCCACAGAAGTCCAAGGGGACCAAGGCAGGCGAAAACAGTGAAGGCTGATGCAAATAAATAAACAGGGACAGGTGAAGGATGTCGGTGGGAGGGGGATCCTACTGAGAAGAAGTCATTAATAAGGAAAGCGCTGTAGGAAAGAAAAAAGAAGTTATGGCACCAGACACATGAACATAGACAACATCAAACACTAAAACTCAGAACGTAGGTATCAGTTATAAGCCAGCATGAACTCAAAATTCAGCCCGGAACAACTTCAAGCAAACTCAAACAGCCCGGAACAACATCAGGCAAACTCAAACAGCCTGGAACAACGTCAGGCAAAATTACTCAGTGGAGATGTGACTTGTGGCCCAAACCACATACCAGAACAACATCAAGAAGAGGGAACAATTCAAGGGCTTATGCGCCTTGAACCACAGTGCCATGGGGATCGCAATGCTTACGTGTCTTGTTCCCAGCCAACAGAAACAAACTGAGCGCTCACAACTTGAGAATGAAATGAAACCACAAGACAAGACATAAGACAAGAGACAAAGTTATACGGCTGTACTTACCTCGAGAGGCTCTTTGGCCATTGGGGTCCCCCACCATGGGAGACGATCCCGGACAAGCCCCCAAATGTAAGGGTCGAGTCGCTGAGAAGGAAGACCCCAAGAGTCATCTCTCATGCAAATCACAAAGGGAAAGTTTTATTATCTACATATATGTAGGGCGGTCTGCACACGCAGAAACAGAGTGCGCCTTTAGTGAAACAGGCATAGTTTTTTAAAGGTGAAAACCACAAAATAGGGTGGGAGCAAGCAAGTTACAGAAGCAGATTGCATTGGTTAGTGTAGGTTGACCTTTAAAATAATTGGTGGATTACAACACCAGATGACCAAATGGAGTAAGTCTGGGGGTAGTTGGGGGGACTAACCTTGTGGTTGTCATATTCCAGGAACGTTTTTAAGAAATCGGGGCACTGTGACCTGGAACATTCTGTTGTTATGGCTTTCAATAGTGAGGCCATGTGTTTGGGAATGTATGTCTCTTGCAAGAATTTAAACAAGGGGAGGGCCAAGGGCAACTTCTTGGCTAACTCAGTGGTTTTAGTTGTTTTCCAAGTAACGGGACCCCATCCAAGGTTTTCTTATGCCCTCTTTATCTTAGGAACATGGTTTGTCTAAGGTCTATAGCCACAAACTAGCGGGTGGGCCCCCTTACTGAAAGACACTTTATTTTTAGCCTCATTTATGATCTTAAAATTGTTGGGCTTTACAATCTAAACTTTAAAACAGAAACACTAAATCTCCTGGCAGAAAAAGTAGGAGGAACTCTTGAAGACATAGGGGTAGGCAAAAAGTTCATGAACAAAAATCAAATGGCACAGAAAACACTTGAAAGAATTAACAAGTGGGACATGCTCTTACTGAGAAGATTTTGCACATCAAATGAAATTACCAACAAAGTGAAAAGACACCCCACACATTTGGAAAAAATCATGACAAATATGGACTCAGACAAAGGTGTGCTCTCTAGAATTTATAAAGAACTAAAAAACACTAAGCCCCCCAAAATTTAAAGACCCAGTCCAGAAATGGGCATCCACGATGAACACACACTTCTCAGAGGGTGAAATTAAAGAAGTAAACAAATGTTTGAAAAAATACTCCACATCACTAGCCATCCATGAAATGCAAATTAAAACAACATTAAGATATCTTCTCACACCAGAAAGGATGGCTATCATGAAGAAATCAACCAACAACAAATGTTGGACAGGCTATAGGGAAAAAGGAACCCTTCTCCACTGCTGATGGGAATGTAGATTGGTGCAACCATTGTGGAAATCAGTGTGGAGACTCCTTAGAAAACTTGGACTGGAAATCCCATTTAATCCAGCTATTCCTCTAATGGGAATGTTCCCGGTGGATCTGAAAACATCATATCATAATGATATATATGTGCCTATGTTTACAGCAGCACAATTTGTGATAGCCAAATTTTGGAAACAACCAAGATGCCCATCACCTGAGAAATGGATGAAAAAGCATATTTTTATAAAATGGAGTACTACTCATCTATAAAGAATGATAAACTCAAAGCCTTTATATTTACGTGGATTCCACTTGAAGATATACCCCTAAGTGAAATAAATCATTCACATATGTGTAAATATCATATAGTTTCCCTAGTATAAGAACTCAAAAGAAGAAATATAAATAGAAAGGTATAATACAACTAAAAAAAAAGAAAGAACTTGAGTACTAGACATTGAAAAGAGAACAAGAAGAGCAAGGAAACATGAAAGTGACAAGCCATACAGTTATATGAAGAAGATGGGTAAGGCAATGATCCTGAGAATCTTCAGAAGATTTTTGAATCTTGCAGTTAATTGGAATGATTCTCACCCTGACTAACTATATATACTGAAACCTGTGAACTATGTAATTGCACTGAAGATGGCAATTTGTAATACTGGGTTCATGTTTGGAGTCCCTGTAATTCTGGTCATCTGAATATGGACTGCTTGTCATGACATGCCAGTTGCTGTTGTGCTTTCTCTCGGGTAATGATTGTTCAAAAGGAAGGGGGTGGTGAATGAAGGCAGGAGACTGGAAAAGAAATGTTGTGGGACTGTCTGCCTGCAAGGTTGTATATGATTAGATTTCTGAACTTATGTGTAAACATAAGAATTATATAATTCTTTATGCCTATTTTTAAAATATATTTTAATATTTTAAATGTTTTTTTCATCATATTCTATAGGGACTTAAAGTTCAACATATCAATACTTGATGAAAAATACCTGTTCCATATTATGCCTAAGATGTTTGATATTCAGACCGATATTGAGGTTAAGCTTAACAGCCTAGGTTGTACGGTAATAACAATAAGCTTCTCTTCTGGAGGGTTATCAGCCTAAATTTTCAGACCAACAGTAGAGAAACAGGAGGGCTGCAAGGAAAGCCAACATGTTGGCCCTAGCCTTCCAATGTCAATTAAGACTCAGGACATATGAGACCTTGTACTGTCATGTCACGTAACTCAGTAGTGTCCCAAATTTTCTGATCAAGGAGATTATGGGGCCAAAGAGGAAAGTGATCAATGATGTAGAGTGTGCCTAGGAAGAGGCAATTGGAGAGAAAACATTCTCTCAGGCTTTCACAGGGAGTACATTGGCCAAGCAAAGGCCATGACTCATCCACATGGCTGACACTGACAAAAGAACTACAATCTAAGGCACAGGGTCTCAGGATAAATCCTGAGGAGATTTGACTGACCTTATCATATCCAAACACTACAACTCTTGTTGCATAGGTCTTGCTTTACCTTGTTTTTAACCATCCAGCAGAAAAGTATAAAAACCAAGTATAAGAAGTAAAGCCATGTTGTTATGTTGTGCTGTAGGAGACTCAGTTCAAGAATTTCTGACACTGCCAGTCAAGAGGAAGACCCAATACTATTATGGATTACTGGACTCTTTTAGAATATTTTGCTGAGTTAGCACACCTATAGTATTCTAATGACAGAACTAAACAAAAAAGGGGATATATAAATGAATGTCCATTTTGTATCTGTGTATTCAAAATAGTTAGGATAGATATATAGTTACATTCTCTTACCGAAGAGAGGAATTTTTTGTAATAGTGTTTGTAAATAGAATATCATGTCTGCATCTTGTACAGCAAATAACCACTAGCAAGAGAGTATGCAGTGTGTTAATTATTGAAACTGTCCTACCAGTTCGATTTGAAACTGTCTCATTGCTATTTGTCTCTCAATAAAATTATGGAAAAACATTTTCAAACAGATGTTCAATAAAGAATTGGATATATGGGCTGGAAACATATTTAGACATACTCTGAAATGATAAGTGACATAATTATAGTGAATTTACTCAACAAAAGTACAACCAGTGACAACAATAACCAAAGGTTAGAGTCCTGAAAAGTACCAATGTTTATGAAATAAATAGAAAAGGAAGAGCACCTGAAGAAGTCTTTAAAGAATTCACTATATTGTTACTAACTGAACAACAGTGATGTAACCAAGAGAAGACTTTCCCAAAGGGAATGATCACAAGTGTCAAAAACTGCAGATGTTGACCTAAGATAAAGACAGAAAAATTTGCATTAGATTTAACAACTAACAATTTAGGTGTAACTTTAGTTCATACAGTTTCAACTTTAGAGGAAATAAACTGCAATAGGCTGCTGGATAGGTATGTGACGGATCTGTATGTTACTTCCTTTTGGCAGCATGACATGTATTTCTTTTTGACAACCTATGGCAAATGTTAAAGTATATGTGCATTTGCACTGTACAGTATGTCATCATAGCATTTATTAAAGTACCTTAAGTAAAAATTGATTATAGGAAATGAATGAACATTATTCTTCTAACTAGCTGTGGTATGAACATGATAGAAATAATGATAACTAAAAGGGCAGTTATCTCAATGTAGAAGTGGGTTTGAGGATCTTGCTCTCACTCCCTCCCTCCCTCCCTCCCTCCTCCTTAGTCTTTTTCATCACCAGTATATTATTTCTTCTATGAGATCAACATTTTGAGATTCCACACATGATTGAGACCTTTCAGACCTTGAACTTTTCTGCCTGGATACTTTCATGTAATATAAATTCTTCTACGCTTATCAGTATATCAGTGAATAACAGTAATCCATCAGTTGTCTTTTAAGAATTCTTGTCAGTTACCAGCTCCCTTAATTTCTTTTTTTTCATAATTTTATTGTAAAAAATAGCAATGAGACAGTTTCAAATCAAATCCCTAAGACAGTTTCAATAATTAACACACTGCATACATTCATCTTAGTGGTTAATTACTGTACAAAATGCGGACTTGAGATCCTATTTACAAACACCATTAGAACAAATCATTCTATTCATTATGAGAATGTAACTATATATCTATCCTAACCACTTTGAATACACAGATACAAAGTGGACATTCATCTTTATACCCTTATTTTGTGA